GTAATGATCCCCACAACTTCATGTGTTAGAATTAAAACGGATCCTAACAAGTTGGAAGCTGGGGTTAACCACAGTGTGGAGAAAGCCGGAGTCTCATTTTAGCAAGGAGAATTGGGGAAAAATATTGAAAGATAGTCTTCAATTCAAAACCAGATCCAGAAAACCCACAGCTATTTCTGTGGTTGGTGGGTATTTTCACTGTTTCCATTCTTCCTCCTTCATTTCCCCCTCTGTTTTTACTTTTTGTCTATTATAATACTCTTTGCACTGTAATGCATTACAGTACTACATAGGAAGATTTCTTGCAATGCCTTCTACTTGAGGTAAATGTCTTCTGAAGTATTGATGAGACCCCTTTTGAAGTCACTACACATTTAAAAAAATCTATAGAATAAAAGCTTCAAATAGAACTGTTTGAGAATGACTTGCCAGAGGAGATACGGCATAACATGAGAAGTTATGAATTAATGGACTCATGTAAAGATAATCTTCTCCCATTTATTGATAAGTGGTTTTCTCTATGCTAAGAGATGTCTAAGTCCTGGTTTATACATATTCATCAGAGTACTCCTAAGAGGAAAGTAGGTATATTGTTAACCTGATGCTATAGATGAGAAAACTGAGGATGATATACTTTGCTTATAGTCAGAGTGTTCTTACAAGGAATGCTTCTACAGGATACAAACTAAAAAACAAAAACAAAAACAAAAACAAAAACAACCATATACCATTCAAAGTGGGATATTTAGTTGAGATGGAAATTCTTAGGATAAAGCATGAATTATACTCTGAAGAGGGAGCCACATTATAGACATTGAGATAATACACAGCACATTCACTGTGAAGTTCTAGTCAGCATCTAGAGTATTCAGATTAATTATCAAAATTCTGTCTTTAGAATGAGTTTCTTATCAAAAAGATTTCAGGCAATTTTTTATCAAGGAGAAAAATCAGTATCATAAGGTACTATGGTTCCCTTGCTTTTTTTTTTCCTTTAAGCATAAAAATATGTAACTGAGTGTCACTTTATTATCAATATCTCTCCTTCCCACTGGCACTCCTCGGAGGCACAGCTTTATGTTCCTACTCATTTTCTTACACACGATTCCAACATTTTAGTATGAACCATGCACACTCCCATTTTACCAGATGTATTCTGGCAATTCCCATCAAAAAAATTTACCTACAATGTCCAGGCTAGATAAGAGGAGTTTTCTGCAAACCTCAAATTTCCTGCAAGCAAGAAAAGGACCATTTATCTTCCCTGTCTTATTATATTGAATTGTTGGGTATTTTCCATTTACACAGTTGGAATGGAAGCCAATACTGAAATATGGTCAGCAAAAGCCTTTGTTTATAAATTCACCCAACTAGAAGATGAAGAGCCCAATGTCCAAGCTATATAATTAGAAAATTCAAGGTACTCTGATTTTTTTTAGTGTGTACATGAGATGAAAATGATTCATCATATTTTTGACCTTTACTTTTACCTTTAACCATATTGAAGGTTGCTTTCCTACTATTGCAGAGAATTGTCTGTGAAATCAATTGTTTCGGATACAAGAGACAGTTCATTTCTGTCTCATTTTTTTAATGTAAATTCATTACTAGCCAACAAAGTTTGAATATTTTGATTGTCTGGTTGGTCTATCAAAGAGCCTGACTGACTTTGCTTCTGTAAAATCCTCCTTATGAGCTTTTTTAAAAATTGGTTGTTCAAAACATTACAAAGCTCTTGACATATCATATTTCATATATGAGATTCAAGTGGGTTATGAACTCCCATTTTTACCCCAAATACAGATTGCAGAATCACATCGGTTACACATCCACATTTTTACATAATGCCCTATTAGTAACTGTTGTATTCTGCTACCTTTCCTATCCTCTACTATCCCCCCTCCCCTCCCCTCCCATCTTCTCTCTCTACCCCATCTACTGTAATTCATTTCATTCCTTGTTTATTTTCCCATTCCCCTCACAACCTCTTATATGTAATTTTGTATAACAATGAGGGTCTCCCTCCATTTCCATGCAATTTCCCTTTTTCTCTCCCTTTCCCTCCCACCTCATGTCTCTGTTTTGTCTTTGATTATGAATTAGTTACCTGAAAATTCATTATCATCAATCTATATGAAAGAGAAGAAATTTCAAAAGAATTTTGAGTTGAAAGTCGTGGCTGCAAGTTACTTAGAAAATACCAAGTACTGAAACTATCTCCCATGAAGATCAAATTAAATAGGTGAATAATCCACCCATTAATTATGAATCTGAATATACTGGATATCTCTGGATCTTAATATTGTCCTAGTGGGCTGAAACTTAGAACTCATAATGGTCTCAGTGAGAGACATTGCTCATTTAAATGTCCATATAGACCTTTTTAAAATTCATCTTAATAATAATCAATTTCTAATAGGATTATACCATTTTATTCATCTCTTAATGTTTCCAACATAAAATATACTGCAGAAGTAAGTCTATTATTTTGATTCTTTTAAAGTTGTTTTTATTTTTTCACATCATTAACAATAGATTGGCAACAGGCCCAGGGACTATCTGGCTATCTGTTTACCTATAACAATGTTTTAAGTTAGACAAAATCTATTACTTAGTTTCTATGCACATAGTCAAGAAGCATGGTCTATGGAGCAAAACTCATAAATTGCTGATCTAGGTAAACTTTACATATCTATTCCAAAGACCTGTGGGCTCATGATTTATTCTATGAGGAGATGTTGAATATTTGGATCCTAAATCCAAAATCACGGTAAACATATGTCCTTACAAGACAGTTTTGGTTTATGGTGTTTTCTAGACATAAATATAAATGGCAACCCCTTTTGCTTGAAAAAAAAGTCACAGTTGGAATTATAAATTATATGGTCACTCTTTGCAAAACAAATGAACACATAATTTAAAACAAATAATTATGCACATAGAGCAGAGTGTCCTTTCAATCTTGATTCAGTTTGCAATACCTGACTTCTTTTATTTTGAAAATTTACAAAGATAAAAGGAAAACTTATTAGATAGGCTAAAATTATAGCTTCTAGTTTCTAGTTTCAAAATAACATGTAATCTACATAGCTTTAAATACTCTATTGTGTGATTTATTAAAATGCGTAATATGGTCAAAGAAAATTTTCTGTTATAGCATTTTATTTTCTACAATTTCTTTTTTAAAATTTTATTTGTTCTTTTTAGATATCATGACAGTAGAGTATATTTTGACATATTATATATACTTGTATATAACTTTCTTTTCTTGTAGTTATACATGATGTGGATTTACGCTGTTTGTGTATTCATATTCATATATGAACTTAGGAAACTCACGTCAGATTTATTCTATTGTCTTTCCTATTCCTATCCTCCCTTCCCTTCCCTTCATTCCCCTTTGTTTAAATTAGAGAACACACATGGAATTCTTTCACTGGGGACTGCATATTTTCCTATTCAAAAGTACCAAGCCATGTTCAGTGCAAGTCAAAGTTACACTCCTCATGATACCAAATAATATTTTCCCATTCACCCAATACTGTGTTTGCAGTGCTTTTCAGAGCCAAACCTATAACAAGCATATTTGGAATCATGAGATGGACAGAAAACACCAAGAAACTCTTTACTATTTGGAATGGGAAAACATCTTACCTAAAAATGTAAGGAATTTAATACTAAAAATTAATTCCAGATACTAAGTAGTTCATACTCAAAATAAGCATGGGCCACACTTAAACACAACTTTCAGCTCAGTTTGGGGATTCTGATGGGGCTGTTGTCTCCAACATGTTCACATAACATTCATAAAAGAGAAATCAAGGCATTATTAATAAGGAGCAAAAACTTGGTCTTAGGTTACAGTTCCTAACAAATTAGCAGTCTATTTGTGAAGAGGGAAAATATGATTTCCTCACTTTAGTGTTCATAATCGTGGAAGCCAGGTAAGTGAGTAACATCCACATTACAACTTCTCAATTACTTTTATCAAAGCATTCTCAAAGAACTAAGGAACATTCTGTTAAAAGTCCAGGCTATAATATATTTAACCCAAGCTCTAAAATCTTATTTTATTTCATAAACTAATTCTTCCAAAATTCCTTACCTCCTTTAAATAGAATATAGCAAATAATGCCATCAGATACTGTGAACCAAATTAAGACTCATTCAGAAATTTAAAAAATACCTATAAAAAGTCTGTGAGAATACTTATATTTTGCTAATTGTTTTAAAACAACTAAATCTAAGATAAATACATTTTCATCAAACCTGAGTTAAAAAATCCTTGTTAAATGTATAAGAGATTAGGAAATGATAATATACAGATGAAATAGACATTTCTGAAAAAAGATTTAAGGTCTTCGTATGTAATAAACCATAGTAAGGGAAATGATAATCCACATTGTGTCCTCAAAACATAACAAAATAGGTTAAATATTCTCTGTGACTGAGAGATTTAACAATAAAATCAGTTTATATTAGTTCAAAAAATTATACTGACAAAAGTGTCCTTCAAGAAGGATTTTCTGATCTAATTGCTATTATTAAAGTCAGAACAGGCTTAAAACAAATACCTCTAATGTGTACTCACAAACCAGGCAAAATTAGAATAGACTTTCCCTAAAGACTTGGTAAACATTCAATTAAAACTTAACAACTGCAAAGTGCAAGCCAGTTCCTGCTCTGGCAGATATCTCAGTATCTCAAAGTTCCCAGAAGCTTTCACAGGGGTTAAATTTGACTCCTCATTTTTAAAGTAAGGTGATTGAAGTATTCCCTGGGATAAAATTAATTTCCACATTAACAATTTTCTTATCTATTGTTTCGACATTGAAAAGGGGAAGTGATGTAATTACCATGGTATTAGCCTAACAAACTGGATTTCAAAAGCTCTTGGAATGAAAACAATTATTTTAATGATATTCTTCAGTTCTATTAGGAAAGCACATCCTATCTTACAATTTATGCTCTACCGTGTTTCACAAAGCTTATACATTTACCTTCATTTTTCTTGATGGTAAAATTTGGATTGTTGACCATCTCTGGCAGGAGACTGTATAAGAAATAATGTCCATTTTTGGGATCATCTTTGTCCATGGCACTCACTGTTTGAATGACCTGTAACATAAAATTCACATCAGTATTTCTGATCACATCGCAGGACTCCTACTGTCGTTAAACCCCTAGTGATATCCCTTTTGTGGTCTGATGCTTTGGCCCAAACACTTCTTTTCAGCTTTCTAAATTGTCATGGATGGTTGGTGCCAAGAATAAGGAGAAAAATTCATCACTTTAAAACCTCAGCTTTGATAAGTTGATGAAAATTAAGAGCATTACTGTCATGTCCTTTGGAGTCTGTGGCTTGAAATAGCAAAGTTAAGTGTATTTGAAAATTCCACTGGGCAATTACAGGTTTCTTTCCAATTTGAGTACTTACGGGCATCTAGAATGAGACTTGGAATTGTTACAGTGATTGCAGTGTGGCTCTTGGGAGGATCTTAGAGGTAAAGGACTTAAATTCTGAGTTCTTACGACGACTCTTCTTTCATTTTGCTCATCAGGTTACAAGTGTTTGCCAAATAGAGAGTTCTGCCACACAAACATCACTGCAACAAACCTTTCTGATGAGTTGCATCTGTTCCCTCCCAATAATGAATACTGCTTTTAAAGCTAGTGGATAACATATGCAAACAATGCTTTGGAGTGTATCCTGAGATGAATAAATTATAGGGATTAGAAGAATTACCACTGTGCAGAGAACTGTTTGGATAGATACGGATACTTGGAATTGGTGCCTACAGAATGTACTTGTTTCATTTGCAAAGCTACATTAACTTTATGCTAAGTTATTTCTTTGGATGTCAGAGATGTGTCTTTGTATGTATGATTTTATGATATTTATTACTTTAATGGGAAACTGGGCAAGAGCTAATATAATAAAAGTATAGCTTATATTTCTATTACCTCTGACATTTATGCTTCTATTGTCATCAGCATCTCGTGTAGAATTTTCATTGTGGTCGGTTGTAAAAAGCTATGAAATGAATTCCACAAAAGGCCAATGTTTACAGTAAACAACTATAATTATAAAGTCTGTAAAAAATGCTGATGAAGCCTAGCAGCCAAGGTGATCATAGATTTAGAATTAAAAAAAATAGTTAACAGTGAAATTTGCTCAATTTTATGACATTTTGAGTATGTAAAAATCATGCCAAATATATTATGCCTGTTTGGACATTTATGTTCTATTGAATTTTGTAAGTTAAAGTGAAAAAATGGATTATTTCATTTTGTAAAATGGTAGTTACTGCCTTGTAACTTACAACCTGCACAAAGGTGAGAACCCCAATTTCAGAACTTTCAATAGTCATGCCATTTTGCATTATATCAAGCACATATTATATGATTGGAAATGCCCTAAATATAAAAATAAAATAACTTCTCTTAATTCAATTTTTTGCACTTTTTAATGGAAATATATTCTTTCTTTATGTTTAAATATCGTGATACTATAACATAAAATACCCCAAAATATATTTAGTGGTTAAGTCAGTGATGTAGCGATTCAGAGAAAGGACTTTGGTACACTTTCTAGATAGAATTCCGAGTTTTACGTGTGACTCTTTGTGTATCTTTGAAGGAGTTAACTCTTTCTGAAATTCAATACGGTTTGTAGGCCTAAAATAGAAAAAATACATTTTCTCAAAGGGTTCTTTAAACTACTGATGTAAATTCACATTACTCTCTTGACACCTACTGCCTCATTTCTATGGGATATTTAATGAAGTGCTGGTCATCATCATTATTATTTTTATTATGGTCATTAGTATTTATTGATGACATGGCACTGTGATAAGTGAAATAACTGATGATATTTAGAGATCCCATTCAATCATTTTAGAGGAGAACAAAATTGTATTTGCTGTAGCTAAACACATAGCACATTTGCCTTGACATTTAAGGGCAGAGAGAGGCCCTGGGGTTTTCGTTTTGTTAAAAATAAGCATGAATGGATGTGAAAGGGGAAGATGATGTGGAATACAGGTAACTCTTTTAGACAACATGAATATACAAATATTGAACAGAAAAATATGTATTGGCCCCTTCATTTAAGATCATCGGTGTGGATTTTCATATTCCAGAGTGAAGAAAATGGCAAGAGTCTTCCTGTGACCACAGTGGTTTCAGCAGCCCCTCTCCCATTTACTCAATCTTCTCTGCACAAAATTTTATTCCCAGGTGTTGCAGAAGTTAACTTCTGAAGCATATGGTTCACGAGAAGAATAAACACAAAGAAGAAAAGGTTTCTAGGAATTCTCGGATGGACTTCACTCATAATTAAATGCATTCCTGTTTATAATTAGTGGGAAAAGTAAATACCATTAATATATTTGTAAGTAATCTGCATGTGAAGCTCATGCATGCTGGAATGCATCAACATGAAATTTATTTGATAAGCAGAGCCAACATGACCCCCCAAAGCATGCAGTAATTTAGCTTACCTGCAGAAAAGGAGTACAATTGCCTGCAAACCACACAGCTTAGAAAATTTGAACTGAACTCCCACCAGAATATGGAATATGGCTTCCCCCCATCATTTATGTAAATCAGGAATTTATTAAGTATGCAATTTCTTCTTCCTCATTCTAGAATTACTGAACCAGAAAGTTTCAAAATATGGCTTGAGAATCTGAAGGGTCAACAACCTTTTCTGTGAATCAAGTACACATTTACATCCAAGAACCACAGTTTTGAGTCAAGGAAAACGAATGGTGTTCACACAACCCACATAATTATTGAGTAAGTTTGTATCATTAAACATATATTAAACTTAGTGCAAAAATGGTAAATCTTTAAATCCTATTTCAAATATCCCTCAAACTGGCTGTGGTTAAGATTTTGGGTTAAACCATGTTTGACACTTCATTTTATTTTAATGCAGATAGCCCCTGCCTGGGCATTTTATCTAATATTAGATGTCCAGTAGATCATTTGAAGGACTTTGTGCCATTAAAATGCATTAAGAGACCCATATTAATGAGGCTGAAGTTTTCATTGATGTAATAACATTTGAATACACTTAACTTTAAACAGTAGAAGAAAAGGAAAAACAGATTTATTCAAAGTTGTGCTCCTCCAGAGGGGCATATTGCATAGGTGCACTGAGTAGATGGCAAATGAAAAGTGCATCGTTCCACCCCTGAGCTACTATGACCTCAGTTGATTTTTAAAATAATTAAAGAGCTATCTCATGGGAATAATGTCAGAATTTCTGTGGAGGTTATAGATTTTTAGGAATATGCATTTAACTTTCCATTTAAATGTTTCCCTTTTATTCATAAAAGTTAGGATGCAACTGACACATCTGATGTTTAATAATTTATTGTGAAATCTATTGAATTTCAGGGGAAGCTAAAAGTAAAATATATAACTGTATCAGGAGGGAAAAAAAGCATATCTGGGATGTCAGTATGAGGAAATGAATTCCAGGTTGTGCTTAAATTTCAATGGGAGCTGACTTTTAGTTTTCTTTCTTTCTTTCTTTTTCTTATTTGGTGGGGGGGGTACCAGGGATTTAATCCCAGGAATGGTTAACCACTGAGTGACACAGTTCCAGTCCTTCTTTATTATTATTATTATTATTATTATTATTATTATTATTATTATTATTATTACTACTATTTTATTTTTGAGGCAGGGTCTCACTAAGTTGCTGAGGCTGAGTCTCACTAGGTTGGCCTCAACCTTGCCATCATCCTGCCTCAGCCTCCTGAGCCACTGGAATAATAGGTGTGCACCATCATGACTGGCTGACTCTGTTTTATTTCTTGAGACTATTGATTTGAAATAAAACACCTCACCAAGGCAAGAAACCGAAGAAAAGTTAAAAGTTGTATATCAGAGCATAAATCTGACACTCTAAAAATATTCTTGTAATTTTTAATTCCAATCTACATCAGGTTGTTTTTATTAACAGTGTTGCTAAACCTTTCTGGACTATTTTACATGATCTCAGAAACACTTAGTAGTAGTAGAGTATCCCTGCCATTAATAACTTGTGAAAAGACAAGCAGGCAACAATCCATTTCTGGTGATCTGATCTGTTAACCAGCATGATGACATCTTGGGATCTCTTAGAGCTACTCCTAGAACAATGTCTGGCACATGGCAACTACTTAATAAGTATTGGTTAAATGAGTTAATGATGGATCAATAAATAAATGATGGTACACATATTTCACATTCTTACCATTCCTCTCAATGCCTTGAGAAGTAGGCATTCAGAGACATATCAGCATCCTAATGCATCAAAAACATTATATATAATTTCTCATCCCAGATATGCCTGATTACAAATTTCTTACATTCCTCCTTTCCAATATTAACTCAAAATCTTGCTGATGTTCTTACATGCTGTTCATACCTTTCTATTAAATGAGAGTTGAGCTTTCAATATTTTGGAGAATGTGTAAAAATGACTAATATATCTTTGGGGCTCATGTTCCCTATTAATTCTGATTGGCAAAATCACAACAAGTGAATATTTAGAACTCATGAGTTTCCCTAAGTGTGGACGAGGTCAGTGAGCACTCATCTGTCACAACTTTTGGAATATTTTTCAAGGCTTTGGAAACATATATCAATTGTTCTGGAAGACTCCAAAATGATAGCCATACAATTGAACATGCAATTGAAGCACCCTGTTTCCTTCTCAGGTAAAACCTAATTTTACTTTTCTGAAAATCCTGCAGTGTTGTGAATTGGAAAGTGATATAAATGGGTCAATAAAAAAGAAGGGGATGTCAAAGTTGGTGCAGAAGGGATAGCATAATTTAAACTTTTCTATTAACTCTCTTATTTTTTTCCAGTTAATGTCTGATTATCCATATAAATTTTCCTGAAATGGTACTGTCTATTTCCTAGATCAATATTTTCCATCGTGGGAAAGAAGGACAGCTCCACAGATGAGCTTCATGTGTCTTACAGTTGCCAACATGAAAGTGAAACTGCGTAAAGATATTTACATATTTACATATAAGGGGGAAATTAAGTGGCTTTTATCAGGTTGTCTGTGGTGCCCATAACTAAATGAAGTAAAATAAAGTAGGATGAGAGCT